AAATTGATAAATTCTTCAAAAAGCTATAAAAATTATAAAGTTTATGCATCCAACATTAGAGCATCAAAATGTATAAAGCAAAAATAGATAAACTGAAAAGATGTACAGAAAATTCCATAATTATAGTTGGAGATGGCAACACTCATCTCTAAGTAACACAGAAAAAGTAGACACAAAATCAGTAAAGATGCAGAAAGCTCAGAAACGCTATCAAGCAACTTGACTTAATTGACTGTTTTAGAATATTCCACCTAAAACAGCAGAATACACATTCTTTTTAATTGCACTTAGAACATTCACCAACATAGACCATAACTGGAATAAAATACAGATCTCAACAAATGCCAAAATAATGAAATCATATAGAATATATTCTCATTTCATAAAAGAATTTCACTAGAAATCAATATCAAAAAGATATTTTAAAAATCTGTATGGGTCACAAAGAAAATTTTAAAATCTTTTGAATTGAATAAAAAACAAAAACAAAAAACATCAAAATTTCTGAAATCACCTAAAACAGTACTGAGAGGGAAATATACCACACTAAAAGTTTATATTAGAAAAAAAAGAAATGTCTAAAGTCAATATCTAAGGTTCTACCTTAAGACACTAGAAAAAGAAAAAAAACTAAAACAAATGCAATCTTAAGGAAATAAAGTTAAGAGCAGAAATCAGTGAAACAGAAAACAGAAAAATACTACAGAAAAATTGTTAAATCCCAAGGATGGTTTTTGAAAACATCAATAAAATTATTAAATCTCGCCCTAACCGGTTTGGCTCAATGGATAGAGTGTTAGCCTGCGGGCTCAAGGGTCCCAGGTTTGATTCCAGTCAAGGGCATGTACCTTGGTTGTGGGCACACACCCAGTAGGGAGTGTGCAGGAGGCAGCTGACAGATGTTTCTCTCTCATCAATGTTTCTAACTCTCTATCCCTCTCCCTTCCTCTCTGTAAAAAATCAATAAAATATATTTTAAAAAATTATTAAATCTCTATATAGTTAGATAAAGATCAATTTACTAGTATGAAAAAGGGAATATCCTTATGGATCCTACATATATTTAAATGATATAACAAATTATTATGAATTTATTATGCCTATATATTTGATAAACAGTTAAATGAACAAATTCTTTGAAAGATACAAACTACAAAAGCTTAATCAGAAAGAAAAAAAATAACTTGAATTTCCCTATTATATCTTTAGGGAATTAAATTTGTAGTTAACAACCTTCTCACTGGTTGAAAACTCAAGGATTAAAAGGTTTCACTGGTAACCTCTACCAAACAATTAAGGAAAAATAATATTAACTCGACACAAATACTTTCAAAATGTTTGAAAGATCAATTAAAACTTCACAAAGCATTTTATGAGGCCAAAATCACCCTGATATGAAATGAGAAAAAGACGTTAAAAACAAAGAATACTGAAGACAAATACATTTCATAAAAATGGAAACAAATATCTTGAAAAAAACATTGGCAAATTAAAATAGATAGATAGATAGATAGATGAAAAAGAAAAAAAAAACAAACTTCAAAACATTTTTTTTAAAAGAAACAAAGTTGGAGGAATCCTATTACCTATTTTTAAAACCTAATAACAATGTGTTGTTCACAAAATGATAGACACATAGGTCATGGAATAGAATAGAAAATCTATAAGAAACAGACCCACACATATATGGACAATTAGTTATTGACAAAAGTACTTCAAAATCCAATGGAAATAAGATGGTCTTTCAACAAATAAATGTCAACAACTGGAAATCCAAATTTAAAATAAAATCCTTTCACTCTTACCTTGCAAAATACACAAAATATAATTCAAATGAATTATATATCTAAATACAAAACCTAAAACTCTAAAAGTCTTAGAAGAAAATAAAAAGAAAAATTACAGCCCTGAGCAGTTTGGCTCAGTGGATAGAACGTTGGCCTGTGGACTGAAAGGTCCCAGGTTCGATTCCGGTCAAGGGCATGTACCTTGGTTGTGGGCACAACCCCAGTAGGGAGGTGTGCAGGAGGCAGCTGAATCGATGTTTCTCTCTCATCAATGTTTCTAACTCTTCCTCTCCTTCTCCCTTCCTCTCTGTAAAAAATCAATAAAATATATATTTTTTAAAATTACATGTGATCTTGGAATATTCAAAAAATTCTTACAATACACATACAAAACTGAATGATAAAGAAAATTAATAACTTGAATTTCATCATAATTATAATTTTCTACAATTTGAAGCATAGTGTTAAGAAAATTTAAAAAATAACACTGCACAGAGAGGAATAAAAGACTTTCAAAATGTGTATTGGGCAAAGAACTTGTAATTAGAATATACAGAGAGCATTTATAATCAATAAGAAGACATTTCACCAAAGAAGAGATATGATGGCAAACTAGAGGCCTGGTGCACAGATTTGTGCACCTGTGGAGTCCCTCGGCCTGGCCTGTGGGGATTGGGCCAAATCGGGCTCTCCGACACCCCCCAAGAGGTCCCAGATTGTGAGAAAGCAGCTCTTGGGTGACACACCCCGGAATAGGGCTCCCTTCTCTCTGGTTCTGAGTTTGTCACCTGAGAGCTGCACCTGCCAAGTCACTGCAGTTCAGCAGCTCCTGCATTGGGCATCTTCCCCCTGGTATTCAGTGCGCGTCATAGCTACCAGTCAGATGGTTGAATGGTTGTACGGCCGGTTGGGCTTTTTTATATAGAGATAAGCACATGAAAGGATGCTAAGCATCTTCAGTCAGTAGGTAACTACACTGACAGTCTTGGCAAAAGTATTAGCAGCTAAACTACTCCCATCCCTTCTTTCCTCCTTTATATCCTCTGCCTTGTGGCTACTACACCCAGCTGGCATGAACCTCAATGGTGGAGAGATGAGAGATGAGGTTTACAACACAGTGAAAACAGAGATGTTTATGAAGCAAAGGTTGAGGGAACAGGAGAATGAAGAACCTGGCCGCCGCCACCAACAACAACCAAGTAACTGTGGAAATGAGTGGCCTCTAGCTGGCACAGAGACTAAAGCTTCAGTAAGGGAACAGGTGCAAATTAAAACAAAGAGATAGGAGAATGACTTGTGAGAGAAGTATCATAGAATTAAGGCAAAATAGATGTGTCTGTCTTCATACTCCTTTCTGTCTGATTAACTCTTACTTATTCTTGAAGAGTAAATTTAGCAGTCATGCCTTAAGGCAAGCCTTCTCTGCTCTTCACAGCCCCCCAAATCCTGACATAGTACTACTTCGGGGGGTCACCACAGCACCTATGACAACATCTATTATTTTCTGTTGGAATTGCCTTTTTATTGAGATATAATTCACCTACAATAAAATTCAAACTTTTAAGGTATACAGTGGTTCCTAGTACATTTACAAAGTTGTGAAATCATCATTAATATCTAACTCCAGAACATCTTATCATCCCCAAAAGAATCCCCATACCTGGTAGCAGTCATTCTCTGTTCACTCTTCCTTCAAACCACAAATCTACTTTCTGTCTATAGAAATTTACTTATTCTGGACATTTTATATAAATGGAACTATACATTACATAGCCTTTTTGTCTGGCTTCCTTTGCTTAGCCTAATGTGTTCAAGGTTTATCCATGTTGTAGCATGTAACAGTAAATCACTGCTTTTAAAAAAATATTTTTATTGATTTCAGAGAGGAAGGAGAGGGATAGAGAGATAGAAACATCAATGATGAGAGAGAATCATTGATTGGCTGCCTCCTGCATGCCCCCTACTGGGGATCAAGCCCACAACCTAGGCATGTGCCATTGGCCAGAATTGAACCTGGGACCCTTCAGTCCACAGGCCATTGCTCTATCCACTGGGTCAAACTGGCTAGAGCAGTGATTCACTGCTTTTTATGGCTGAATGCTATTTCATTGAGTCTATATACCACATTTTTTTAATCCATTAATTAGTTGATAGATACTTAGATTGTTTCATTTTATGGCCACTATGAATAATGTTGTTATGATCATTGGTGTATAATTTTTTAAGTGAATCTATGTTTTCAGTTCCCTTGGGTACATACCTAAGAGTGCAATTGCTGGGTCATATGGCAACTCTATTATCTAACTTTTTGAAGAACTGTTTTTCATTTTATATTCCACCAGCAACATAACTGTCTTTCATTTATCTAACCCTCAAATTTCTTGAGACTAGGACTTAAGTCGTATGCTAGAGTATCCCCTGCACCTAACATAGTGCCTAATGCAGTATGGTTGTCTATGAGTATTTGTGAAGTGAATTACTAAATAGCCAAGAATAATTTTCTTTGCCTTATGCCTTCTTCTAGAAAAGTAATTATCAAAATGCCCCTCCTTGATATCTCTAACTTTCATCTATCCAGACTCTTTCCTCTATCAAACTATTATAAGTAATGACATAGTCTTAGGTGCCAGCACTTCGTGAAATGGGTGCTCTCTGATTGCTAGAACAGATGTGATCCAGTTAAGGCTGCTCCCTACACATTAGAGAAGTTAATGTAAGATAATCCAATAGCAGAATCAAGTATTTCCAAGTTGGTACCGGTTGGTAAGCAGTCACATGTTCCTTCATATTTTCAAAGTGATCATCTAGCAAATATAGGCACAGGTCATGTGTGGCTCTAGAACACGCTCTCCTAGCCCAGCTGCCAATAACATACAATGGATCTGGCAGGGAAGGGAACAAAGTGACTCCCACATGGGACAAGAGGAAACATATGGAGCCCACCCATTACAGAGGGAGGCTGAGAAGATCTGCAGATGAAAGGGCCTTCCAATTCTAGCAGCTCTGGGTAGGGATTAATCTCCCATGACTGGCACTTAAGTCCTCTAATGACTTCCAGCTCTGGCCAGTATTGCATAGAGTAAATATCCACTTTGATCCTCAAACACAAAATGGACATGTACATGGATAAAATTTACATTTTAAACATAACAAAATTCATCTTGATATGAAATAGGATACATCTCTAATAAAATATGAATATACACTAATTCCTCATAAAATCTCACAAATATCTTCTTCTACGGACAAATGAGCATCTACACTAATAAAAGAGAAAAATGGTAATTGGCGTACGACACTACCCTTTTCATTGGCTAATCAGGGCTATATGCAAATTAACTGCCAACTCAGATGGCAGTTAATTGAAAACAAAGATGGCGGTTAATTTGCATATGTAGGCACAATGAAGGGAGGCTAAAGGGAAAGCAGGAAGAAGCCCCCTGCCACTGACTGTGATCGGAAACCCAGAGGGGAGCTAAGAGCTGGGGGGCAGGGCAG